TGGTCCCGAGGCTCACCAAAAATAGCACAAAATAGGGCCAAACAAGGCCTAAGCGGGGGTAAACGACCCCAAACACAAAAGTGACCTTAAACAAACTTCAAAAGGAGCTCAAAATAAGACTTTTTTCAGTTTATGACAAATCCCAAATATGCTTGCAAGTAAGGCTAAAAGTGTGTGCAAAAACGGGGAATAAAGAAGAAAAATGAGTTACCTTTGTAGCCAAAAGGGGACAGCAGCCTCTTGGTCCAAAAAAACAGTCCCTTAGCCTCTGAAAATGGCCTCCAAGCTCCTTAGGTTGATGATGGAGGTGTTGTGCTAGGAGGTGTAGTTCAAATGGTCAAGAACCAGACCCTTTTGCACCCTCTAACCCACACAAATGTAGAGAGAGAGAGAGATATAGAGAGAGAGTGATATATATATGATATATATCAGATTTTTCTAACCCTCTAAAGGGGAGGAGAGGCCCTCTTTTTATAGAGAAACCAAGGGGGCAAAGCTTCTCTTAGAAGCTTTGAGCAAAAAGGCCAAGCTTCTCTTAGAAGCTTGGAGCAAAAGGGCCAAGCTTCTTGGGCCAAGCTTCTTCAAGAAGTTAAAAAAGGGTCAAGCTTCTTGGAGAAGCTAAAAAGGTTCAAGCTTCTTGGAGAAGCTACAAAAGGATCAAGCTTCTTGGAGAAGCTAAAAAATGGTCAAGCTTCTTAGAGAAGCTAAAAAGGGTCAAAAGGTTCAAGCTTCTTCAAGAAGCTAAAAAAGGGTTCAAAAGGTCAAGCTTCCTCAAGAAGCTAAAACCAAGAGTTCAAAAGGTTCAAGCTTCCTCAAGAAGCTAAAACAGGGGGTTTAAAAGGTTCAAACCCCCCTCAAGAAAAGGCCTCGGCCAGAAAAAGTGGCTAATTGGCCACAAAATGTGCCGATCGACCATCAACAGTGCCGACCGGCCATCACCAGTGGCCGGTGGCAAGGAAACAAGGCCGGTGGCTTCAAGCCATGGCCGGTGAGGTGTGGGGATGGCCTACAAGCTATTTCCCACCCTCAGAAGCAAAACAATAAGTGTTTGATGTAAAACCAAACACAAAACAAACAAGTCAAGAGGTCTTGAGGCAAGGCGCACAGCCGAAACCTCCGAGAACTCAAGACAAATACGAACAGGGATGATCATCGAGTGTTCAAATGACGACGTCCAAGTCTTGAGGACAGTCAAAAATGGGGTGTCTACACTTTGTTGAACTCAATTTTCCCTCTCTCACTCTCCTATGTTTCTTCTTGGTCCCAAAATGGCTGAGGAAATGAATCAAGAGCTCCTAATCAAGATTGGACAAAGTGGCCCACTAAGGGGCAAAAATGTAATTACGAGCATTCACTAAATCTATGTTTCATCAAGCATTATTTAATCTAATTTAATCGCTCCGAATCGAATTTTAATTAAACCTACCATAAAATTTCATAAATCCTAACTAGCACATAAATCAAGTCAGTTCCTGATTCGGACGCCGATAAGGCTTTCAATTCGCAATTTAAAGTTAAAGACATGAATAGATCATTTTATCGCAAACAGATAGAAACACATAAATAATGCAATACACATGCAAATAAATCCCAAATCCTTCCTAAATTACTAGTAATCATAATTAATCATGAATTAGCATTAATCGGAGGTCGGGGTCATTACAGCCTTCCCCCCTTAAAAGAGCTTGGTCCCCCAAACTCGAATTACCTTCATTCTGAATCAACATTGGGTCCAATGGAAACAATTCCGGATATCTCTTCATCATGTCTTCCTTGGTTTCCCAAGTTGAATAGGTTCCTTCGGTCTATCACCTACTTCAGCCCAGCATATCGGAGAACGACACTTTCTTCCATACAAAGCTTCGTAAGGAGCCATTTTAATGCTTGAATGGTAACTGTTGTGGTACACAAATTCAGCTAATGGCAAGTAGGTCTCTATATTCCCTTGGAAGTCTAACCCACACATTCTGAGCATATCCTTTAGAGTTTGGTTCGTTCGTTCAGTTTGGCCATCTGTCTGTGGGTGATAGGCACTGCTCAGTCTCAATTCAGTCCCCAAAGCCTGTTGCAAACTCTGCCAAAATCTCGATACAAACTTTGAGTCCTTGTCAGACACAATAGACACTGGCACTCCATGCAATCTCACAATTTCAGTCATATAGATATTGGCTAATTTGTCAGCGTTATAAATAGTTTTAACAGGCAGAAAATGGGCAGACTTAGTTAAACGGTCAACTATAACCCAGATAGAGTCCATACCTCGAGAAGAACGTGGCAATCCCACAATGAAGTCCATAGTAATGTGCTCCCATTTCCATTTCAGTATTGGGAGTGGTTGTAGCAACCCAGTGGGTCGTTGATGCTCAGCTTTAACCTGTTGGCAATGTAGACATCTAGCCACAAAGTCTGCAATACTCTTTTTCATTCCAGGCCACCAAAAATTATGTTTCAAATTATGATACATCTTCGGGTTCCCCGGATGCATAGCAAACTTACTACTGTGAGCTGCGGTTATAACACGTTTCCTCAAATCATCGTAATCGGGTACACAAAGACGGTTCTGAAATTTTAGCACATCATTCTCAAACACAAATCCTGGCCTTGGCTTCGAATCAAATTCCTCTATGATCTTTTTCAAGTATTCATCTTCACATTGTTTTTGTTTGATCTCATCAAGAATAGCAGGTTGAGCAGAAATAGTAGTTAACAGCCCATCTTGTTCTAGGTCATTCAGCAATTCTTTTCGATTGGGCAACAAACATGACAAACTTGCACCGGATTTTCGGCTTAAGGCATCTGCTACGGTATTAGCCTTCCCTGGGTGGTACAAGATCTGCAAATCATAATCTTTGATTAACTCTAACCATCGTCTCTGTCGCATGTTCAATTCCTTTTGGGTGAAGAAATATTTCAAACTTTTATGGTCTGTATACACCTCGTAAGTTACCTCATACAAATAGTGACGCCATATTTTCAAAGCAAACACCACAGCCGCTAATTCAAGATCATGTGTTGGGTAATTCTTTTCATGAGGTCGAAGTTGTCTAGAAGCATAGGCAATCACCCTTCCGTTTTGCATTAGTACACACCCCAAGCCTTTATAAGAAGCATCACTGTACACTTGAAAAATCATGGCTTAGCATTAATCGGAGGTCGGGGTCATTACAGCCTTCCCCCCTTAAAAGAGCTTGGTCCTCCAAACTCGAATTACCTTCATTCTGAATCAGCATTGGGTCCAATGGAAACAATTTTGGATATCTCTTCATCATGTCTTCCTCGGTTTCCCAAGTTGCATAGGTTCCTCCGTGGTTTTGCCAATCAACTTTTACCAACGGTATTTCTTTATTTTTCAACTTTTTGATTCGGCGATTCACAATTTGGATGGGCCTTTCCCCATAAGTGTAGTCATCTTTCAAAAGCACATGTGTCGATTCGATGACGTGGAGTGGATCCCTCGAATATTCTCGTAGCATCGATACATGAAAGACGTTATGCATGTGTTCCATTACTAGAGGTAAGGCTACCCGATACGATACCGTCATCTATTCGGGGCAAAGGGTATTTGTTCTTGATATTCACTTTATTCAGTTCCCGGTAATCTATACGCAATCTCAAAGACGCATCCTACTTTTTGACAAACAAAACTGGAGCACCCCAAGGTGAAGTACTCGGACGGATAAATTTCTTGTCTAACAGTTCATGAAGTTGGGTTTTCAATTCTTTCAGTTCAGAGATAGGCATTCTATAGGGAGTCTTGGAAACATGTTGTGTCCCTGGAAACACCTCAACAGTGAATTCAATTTCTCTATCAACTAAGTCCCCAGGTAAGTCAGTAGGAAACACATTGGAAAATTCACAAACAACAGGGATTGTTTCTATAGTAGTACCGTCAGATGGTGCAGTTAGTATACAACACAGGTAACCCCTACATCCCATCCTAAGGAGTTTTACAACTATCATAGCCGAAATCAAATACGGGGGAGGAACTACCCCATTCCCAATAAAAGTAAATTCAGGCATACCCGGTGGTCTAAACACAACAGTTTTATTTGCACAGTCAATGGTAGTAGAGTATTTAGTCAACCAGTCCATCTCCAAAATACAATCAAAATGACTAATGTCCAAGGGTAATAAATCCACATATAATACCATATCACCAATCATAATATCACACGCCGGATAAATATGAGTACACATCATAGGATCCCCAGACGGTATGGATACAGATAACACATATGTCATTTGTTCTAGTGGTCTAGTCAATTTTTGAGAGAAAGCATGCGATACAAAGGAATGTTTAGAACCAGAATCTACCAGTACACATGCATTTTGAGAACATACAGAGAGTGTACCTAACACCACAATATAGGTGTTGGGTACGTTGCCAGGCACTAAGGCAAACACTCTTCCTTAAATGTTTCATTGTTTGCATTCCCCCTAACATTGGCCCTTGCATTTGGTCTTGCTGCGGAAACAGACCCGGTGGAACTTGTCATAGGACGGCTAACCTCATTGTATCTCATTGGGCAATCCCTCACCACGTGGCCAGTCTTGCCACAGCGAAAACACGCACCTGATGCTCGAAAACAGGCACCCATGTGCTTCTTTCCGCAGTTGGGGCAGTTTGGAGTAGATCCGCTACTTTGGCTAGAGCTACAGGAGGATCCTGTATATTGCCTTTTCGAAAACGACCGGCCTTTCTTGAAACTGGGTCCAGTCCTTTTTCCTCTCCATTTTGTTGTTGGTGTTGTTGTTTGTTTCTTAGCTGCTATTGTGGCTTCTGCCATCAATGCCCTGTCAAGTACCTCCACATAAGTAGGTAACTTTACGACACCCACTCGGTCAAATATTTCTAGGTCTAGCCCTCCCTCAAACTTCCGTGCTTTCTTGTAATCAGCATCCACCATATGTGGAGCAAAACGCGCCAACTCGGTGAATTTGGCTTCATATTCTGTTAAAGCCATTCTTCCCTGTTTAAGTTCTTGGAATTCCAACACTTTTCAATCCCTGAAACATTGGGAAAAGTACTTGTCGTAGAAGATAACATTAAACTGTGCCCATGTAATATTTCCATTGCCATTTCGGATCAGTAACCACCACCTGCGAGCTTCATCCTTCAAAGTGTAGGTGGCTAGGAGGACTTTCTGAGTTTCGGTACAAGGGAACACGTCATACAACTTCTCCATTTCAAGTAGCCACGTCTCTGCTTTTAAAGGTTCGATTCCACCATACAACGTTGGTGGTTTCATTTTCATAAATTTCTGTGTCAGATTGATGATGTCAGCATTATCTACCTTGGCTCTTGCCGGTGGAGGCAGAGGAGGCAAAGGTTGTTGTCTCTGTTGTTGTGTCCAGGCTTCAGTCAACGCTGCTAACATCTGTTCCATTCGGCCCATGTGAGCCTTTGAAGATTCACTTTCACCACTTCCCCTTGCATTGTTCATTTTACTATACAGACATCAAATGATAATAAACACAGGCATAGTCTTATTCGTTTCCTTCAATTCATTTGATTCAAATGTACATTCAGTTTTCATATTCAGTTGAATTACCACACACTCACACATGCAGATGGAATGCCCCTAACTCTTACCAGGACATCCTAAGCTCATACGGACCTGTGTGTGCGGTAGAACACGTGCTTTGATACCACTCTGTCACGACCCAAACCCACCCCTGTAGGTTTAGCACCGTAACCGACCAGTAATCCGTGGATTACCAAAGGCCTCTGAACAGATTAGCAAATAATAAGGGGCTGCGGAAGCAATAATACAAAATAGACAAGGTCCAATGAGCTGTGATAACGTACATGGGACATAACATTTCAAAACTTACTTATATATATATAAACATGCCAGTCCAGATACACAGTATTTACAAAATATTTACAGAGGTGAAGTTCCCAAGATCTGACTATACAGTGCTTACACAAAGACTAGCATGAAATACAAAAACAGCCATGGCATTAAACTTTGATCGGAACCTCCTTGGGAGGCACAAAGGTTGGCTAACAAAACGGTACAGAGGGTCGTCAACTCTGGCCTTGGTCATGTGCCGGCTCACCTACATACATAGAATAAACTGTGAGCGAAAGCCCAGTGAATAATAACAGAGTAAATGGGTTATATAAATGATGTCCATCACAAGTTAGAATCCAGTATTTAATTCAGAGCATAATCAGACTTCAAAACAGAAATAGATTCATATATATTTGCATATTACGATTTTTCATAAGATCATACGTGGTACACCCATTAGCTATCAGAACAAATTGGTCCAGAGACCCACATACATAGTTGGTACCAACGACCACAAAGGTCCATAACTTGCACGCAAGTAGCCATGGTATTATTAACCCCAGGCAAGGGCCACGTGCAAATTTGCCGTGGTATTGTTACCCCCGGGCGAGGGCCACATGCAAATTGGCCACGGTATTGTTACCCCCGGGCGAGGGCCACGTGAACTAAGGGTGCCACAATTACTTTTCAGAAAATAAGACATTCATTCATAATTTTTAAGATAGCATTTCAGAAAACAAATCATACAATACCAGTCAGAAAATACTTAAGTTGAACATAACTTTACAGAGTTATTACTCACAGTGAGCTTGGAGACAGACAGACAGACAAATCAGATCGATCAGACAAGGTGTGGCACGTGACCTACAGGACACATAACAGATGCACACTTGAAACACACGTTCTAATTGTACAAAACTTATTTCGTTGGCTCTTAGTGTGTTTCTAATCTCTTATCCTCATTATAGAGTCTAAAACATGGCCTATGAATGCCTATGATAGAATGAGGATGCAAAGATGCGCTTTAAAACACTTTTCAAAATTTTGCTGAAACAGGGGTCCCGCTCGAGCGTGGCCTTCTACGCTTGAGCGGACATGCAGACAAAAGGAATCCGCTCGAGCGTGAATTACTCCGCTTGAGCAGACTTCAAGCTACAGTAAAAGTGCTGGATGCATGAAATTCACGCTCGATGGGCGCTCGATACCCGCTTGAGCGTGAGACACAAGTCCTCGCTCGAGCGTATATTACCCAACTCGAGCGGACTGTAAACACAGGCAAAGTACTGGATACACGAAATTCCCGTTCGAGCATCATTTTACCCGCTCGAGCGTACTTCATGAACCTAGTATGTATGCTCGAGCGTGGAGTTCCCCGCTCGAGCGTGAGTCCAAAATCTGGAATTTCCAGATTCGAACCTCAAGCTCAAAACTCAACTACAATGCATCAAATTCGATCCTTTTGGGCTAATTTTCTGGAAAACACTTGTAAACTCATAATATGACATGTTTCAAAGATCAATTTGAGAAATCAAAGCCCAAAGGTAGTTCAATTAAACACAATTTTCAAATAAACTTCAAGAACATGATGGATATGTAACATGCATGAATTTAATCAACCCCAAGGCTTCCAATTCATGCTCCTAAGAGCCAATTCTTTCAAAAATAAGATGAAATCATGGACTTCAACCAAAATGTAAACATGCATGCAAGAATTTCCATGAAAACAACTTTAAACTTCAAGATATGCACATGCATGCATGATTTAGCTCTAAATTCAACGTTTTCAACCAATTCTTGTCTTAAACTCTAAGCTTCCATGAACCATGCAAGAATTAAACTTAAATGCAAGCTCAAGAAGTTGGTTCTCCTACCTTAGACCTTGAATGACAAGATATACAGGCTTAATTTGCACAATTAACCTTCAATCCTTCTAGTTCCCAAGCCAATACTTTGTTGAACTCAATTTTCCCTCTCTCACTCTTCTATGTTTCTTCTTGGTCCCAAAATGGTTGAGGAAATGAATCAAGAGCTCCTAATCAAGATTGGACAAAGTGGCCCACTAAGGGGCAAAAATGTAATTACGAGCATTCACTAAATCTATGTTTCATCAAGCATTATTTAATCTAATTTAATCGCTCCGAAACGAATTTTAATTAAACCTACCATAAAATTCCATAAATCCTAACTAGCACATAAATCAAGTCAATTTCCGATTCGAACGCCGATAAGACTTTCAATTCGCAATGAACAGATCATTTTATCGCAAACAGATAGAAACACATAAATAATGCAATACACATGCAAATAAATCACAATTCCTTCCTAAATTACTATTAAGCATAATTAATCATGAATTAGCATTAATCGGAGGTCGGGGTCATTACACTTTCTTAGTAATTCGACTGAGTTTGTTCTTTAACTGATGAATGTGAGATCGAGAAAGAGATGTTAATCTCTTTACAAAAACAGTCCAAACTCCAGAGCTAGACTGACAATGGATCACAGATGTGTAAACAGATGATGATAATGTGGCTATTATACAGCTCAACAAATGAGCATCGACAGTGATCCACTATCTATATGCAGGATTTAAAACTTCTTGACTGTTGGAATCAAGGACAACTGAGGGAGGACATACCTCTGATCTATCAATGTATCCATGAAGCTTTGTAGCTTTTAGAATATTGTGCAATTGACTCTTCCAAACAATGTAGTTTGTTGCATTAAGCTTGGTTGTGACAAGAGCATTGAGATTTGAAATCAGCAGTGTCAGATTTGAAGGTAAAGAAGTTGAAGGTAAAGAACTAGAATATATGAAGTTTGTAGTTGCAGGAAGGTTAGGGTTTGGAGTTGCTATTAGAGGACCTTTGTTCGTAGGAGCTTTAGGGCTCTCATACCATAAAGAAATTCAGATTCATTTCATTCAATAAGTTATACAAAAGGATCTTTATGCCTTATATAGACATATGATGTAATGCTATGACAGTAACCACTAATCTAACTGCCTAACCTAACCATGTTTACAATGAACTAACTGTAGTTCTAACAGATTAATAACTGCAGGCTTCATTAAGCTTTGAAGCTGGAGCTGGAGCTATAGCTAGAGCTGCTGTAGGATGCAACTTTGACTGAACTGCTGTTGCTATTGTGTGATTGAGCTGCAGCTGCCAGCCTTGACTGAACTGCTGCTGCTCTATAGCTAGGCATAGCTGGCTCTAGCTCAGGTTCAAATATCTTATCATTCCCCCTCAAACTTTAGGGACATGGAAGAACCTGAAGTTTGCCTTGAAGACATTGAAATCGAGAAATGGAAAGAGGTTTGGTGAGAATATCTGCAATCTGATCAGTGGAAGCAATATGACAAATGACAAGTGTCATAACCCAAACCCGCCCCTTTGGGTTTAGCATCGCAACCGGCCAGTAATCCTTGGATTACCAAAGGCCTCTTACAAGATAACATATAAGTAGGGGCTGCAGAAGCAAATATACAAACATACATAGTCCAATGAGCTATAGAGACATATATGGGACAAAAATTTAAAACTTTATGCACGTATATGTGACGTCATAAATACATTAGTCTTACGTCACTTGAGCCACTTATACAAAACTTTCAAAACATGTTCAAACCAGACATAAACATTTAGGAGGCACTAAAGTCCCAAAAACACAAACGCTGAACAGATCTCAAAAAGAACCTCCACGGGAGGCACGATGGCTGGCTGACACCAAAACTCCAGGCGGCAGCTTAGGCCTGGTCACGTGCCTGCTCACCTACATACATAACGTAAATAGTGAGCGAAAGCCTAGTGAATAATAATAAAGTAAAGATTTTACTGAATGATGCCCATAAAGAAATAGAGTCTTGTATATGATCAAATGTCAAAGCAGAAACAAATTCATATACGTAGTCATATTCGTATTCAAAGTTCGTACATTTCACAATATAGTACGTGGCACATCCGTTAGAGTTAACAAATCCAATTACCCATGTAGGGATGGCCGTAAAGGCATTCCGATAACCCATAAAGGGAAAACCATAAAGCATTTCGATGACTCATGTGCACAGAGACGTTTCTGATGACTCGTAAAGAGACGACCATAAAGGCATTCCGATGACCCATAAAAGAAACACATATCATACGATGCTAAGGATGCCACGAATACATTTCAAAAACTTGGACAATCATTCATTCATATAAAACATAGCATTTTAGAAATCTGATCATTTCATATCATCAAAAAATAATTAAAGTCAAACATAACTTTACAAAGTTATTACTCACAGATAACTGGTAGCTCCACATAGACGATAAAGTGGGCAATTCACTTAGCCTGAGGTGCGTGACCTACATAAGATGGCAGATTCATACATTGAAACACACACTTGGATTGTACGTAACTTATTTCATTTGTTCTTAGTGCGTTTCTAGCCTTTAGCCTCATTATGGAGTCTTAATCTTGGCCTACGAATGCCTAGGATGGAATGATAATGCAAAAATGTCATTGAAAACATTTTCAAAACTTGCTGAAAACAGGGTCCACGCTCGAGCGGACATGCAAAATGTGAGGGTCCGCTCGAGCGCAACTTCCTTCGC